CTGACAAGATGTTTACTCAACCAAGTGGTATAAATGAATATGTAGTGACCACTGCAATTAAAACTGTTTTGAAGAAACTGAAATCACTGCATGACTGCTAATCTTCTCCATAACTAATAAAGTTGGAAAAATACTGTATTTATAAAATCTATAAAATACAAAATTTAAAGAATGCTTGTATAAACACAGCTCCAGTGAGTGTTTAAATATGAATGTTTGTTTTATAACATTTACTGTATAGTAGGAGTGCAGCATTTCCCCAAAGAATTTATTATATTGTCATTAATTTCAGCCCTTCTTTGAAAGGCTTCTTCCCCTGTCTCTCCCTTTCAACTACCCCTGCCATCCCTACCCCAGCGTTGGGTGGCAGGAATGATAAGACTAAGCGTTGGCCTTATAGGACCTAGAAGATGGAAATACAAAAGTTGACATTCCATCTGGGAGAACCAGAAGCCAAAAGACAATTGGATTTAGTAGGATAGGTTTAGAGTAATTAAGAGGCAAAAAAGGATATTCAGATTAAGGTGATAGCAAAGCAATCCTCCCATGAGTCAGATAGGCAGAGGGGAAGTGAGGGCAAACTTCTATGTACCCTTACTGCTTGGGAGCCAGCAGAGGAAGGGAAGGAGCATGAAGGGAAGTGGGCCAGGGACGAAGCTTCAGGAGCAATTGAGCAAAGAAATACTAGTACTTCTCTCAGAAGGTGTCTTGAAATGTCTGTTGGCAGGTGAGGAAGGGTGAAAATGGAAGGAAGAAGGGTATGGATAACCCACTGACCAGTTCCACCTTTAGTACCCCTTTTATGTAACCCCCATCATATAGTGTGACTCATGACCAACAAACAATTCTCTAGGCATTTGTAAAGTAGGAAAACAACTTTTGTTTACCCCACTAATGTGTTCTAAGAGATGAAAAATAAAATAATTGTATCAAAAAGCACCATTCACAAAGTATATGTTTTACAAAGTAATAAAATAATTGACCATCCCTTTTGGCATCTATCTGGACTGGAATGCAAAAAAAGAATGAGTATAGAATGATTTTTTTTTGAAGAGCATTATCAAAAAAACATAATCATGAAGGAAAACAATTTATTTTTAGGTAACAAATAGTCATCTGAACTTGTCAAGATGTCTTCAGCACCTGAGCCTCCGGCATCGAAAAAGGAACCACCCAAAGAGAAAGACTTTGGAAACCCAGGGCTTAGAGGGGTCCGCACGACTACCTTATTTCGAGCTGTGAATCCAGAACTCTTCATTAAACCTGTAAGAAATATATCTAGAATAAGACTTTATGTTTAAGTATCAGGGTATCAGGAGTAGAAAGTTTTTATTTTCCTGTAACCTTTGATTTTATCATGGACATTTTATGCTGAATAGTAAGACCTCTCTGAATAAAAGCAGGTGGAAGGAAGATCTTAAATGCTGGTTCCTTAAATACACATATAAAACTACTTACTTTGCATTTTACTGGATAAAATTCCTATTCAAAATTTTATTTTAGTAGCATTAATTTGAAGTGAATTTTTATTGTTTGATCTGGTAGTACTAAGTAAATAAGACCTATTAAAAAAAAGAAAACAAAGTGAAAACCTGATCATTTTAATAGACAATTCTAATCTTTATTATTATGTTTTTACCTAAGGGATATTGTAAACATTTTGTGAAAAATTTGAAGATGTACCTTCATACAGTGTTAGGGAGTCACATTGCAACAAGAATCATTCATATTCTTGTTGCAAACTATTTAATATATTTGATGTCTTATTAAATTTTATTTTTAAATAAATACAAATTTTAACTAAATGTTAATGAACTCAAATTATTATATACTTAAATGTATTGAATTTGATTAGAATTTTAATAACATGGTTGTCTAAACTTTTAAAATTAAATAGGTCAATTTAACAATCAAATCATTAAATCACGGTAGAACATTTTACTAACTTTGAACTAGTTTGTTCTTTTAATTGCCAAATGCATTTCAGGAATTGCAAATTTAAACTGCTCTGAGCTGTGGCCTTTCTTTCATGTCCATCCAAGTGAAAAAGTTTGACCTTTATTCTTTTGATGGTTAAGATTTAAAATAATGGTAATACAGCAAGCAGATGTGGTAACAGAAGCAGAATATAGGAATTGAAAATTGAAGCTTGGGCCCTAAGAAGTTAAGCAGCTTCTCCATGTATCACAGAGGACACTGAACTCCCAGCACTGGACCAGTTTCCACGCCTCTCACCCCCACTGCTCTTGCCCTAACCATCCCTTTCCTGAAGGGGGAGGTCTGAGATGTCCACGCTGTAGACTGGAGAAAGGCAGGAGGAGAAAGAAGCAAGCGTCCTCTATAATCTCCAAGTTATCAGGAGTTGAATTAACTGAATTAAGAACTGAGTAAATTATTATACTTGAATATATTACCTTAAGAATGTTAGTGTGATAATAAAGACCTGATATGTCAAGAGAAAAGTGCAACAGAATATTTGGATCTCCTCAGATTGGTAGTCCTAATGAGGCTTTATAATTGTTTTTCTTTGACAGAACAAACCTGTAATGGCTTTCGGATTGATAACCCTTTCGCTTTGCGTGGCTTATATTGGTTATCTACATGCAACACAGGAGAATAAAGAGGACCTCTATGAAGCTATTGATAGTGAGGGAAACAGATATATGAGGAGAAAAACGTCTAAATGGGATTAACAGCTGGTCACTGCAGGCGCAGCTGTGAGGGCTCCAAAATCCTCACGGGAAAGACTGAGTGCACACGACCGTGTTTCTGGGTCTAAAAAATGTTAATGCAGAAAGATAGCAGTTGTGACCAAACCACTGGAGTAAATTTGGTCCTTTTAAAGCTGCAGCTTTTATCTCCTTTTCCCAGAAAAAGAGCTACTCAATACTTTCCTTTTATTAAATCCCTGTATAAAAATGCCATGAGCATGGAAGTCATTTTTGTTAATTATTAAGTTCCATATAATAAAAGTACCCAGTGGTATTGAGTTTGCATAATGTTTTTAATATTTCAAGGTGAATGGTGCAGTTGCAACTGTTTTGAGAGTTTAGTTTTATTTTGCTATTTGTAAAGGCAATGTTCATTTTCTACCTGGCATAAAACCCAAATTTGTGGGGGGGAAAAGGTGATTTCAATTACTGTAAAGTCTACAGTTCACATTAAAGACATAGTTTTTAAAGATGGTTCATATATTTTGGTGTTTTATTTCAGCTATTTCTGGTCCAGAATTTTATTTCAATTGAAAAGATAGTCCCAGTCAACTACTAAAATAAAGATTAAATGAATAATTCAAAGTAATTGGAGTTTTTCTTTTAAAAAATGTATGTTATACTGAGGCATGATGTTTTTACTTGACTATAACTAAAGGTTACCTATTTTAGTTTTGTAAATTAATGTTACAGTGATACTAAAAGACCAAATGTTCTTAAAGTTATTTAAAACTAGAACTACTCAAGAGATAAGAAAAGAAAATCTTACTGTTCTGGGTTTTTGATAAGGTTCTGGACCAGTTTCACTTCTAGATATCCCATTCTCCAAATGATTGTAATTGGGGCTCTGTAATAAATCTCATCCTGAAATTTTGTTTTATTTATTATTACCAAGTAATAATAATTGCACAGAGTTTATTATCATAATGTAAGATTTTAATTTCCAGTACTTCATGTGGTTTTGCAAGACACATGAAAATGCAATTACATCTGAATTGTAGATATGAAAGAGCTTAGCTAATTGAGTTATCTACATGGAACTAAGTTATATTTTTATTACTAAGCCCTAAATATTTCTTCTTTATGTCTCTCTATGTAGTACACTTTGTATAGTTTAAAAAGCACTTAGGTGGTATAAAATGCCTTTTAATTTCAAGTAGTATTTTGCTTTTGGTTTCCCGTGTGTTTTGGTTGTTAAGGAACTAAATGTCTTCTCTTTTCAACTTACACATTTAATGTCACATTGTCATCTTTCAGAATTATTCTACTATTCAGCAGAATAAGTTGATACTTGGTGGGGAAGATGCAGGTACTCTCAAGAGATATCACATCCCAGAAGGACAGCAGGAACTGTGCAAAGTGCAGCCTTAAGCTGTGTGACATCTATGTGAATGAACCAGTGAGGTATACAGCTGTGAAGAATAGAAGAATCACACTGAATTTTAGGAACAAGTACTCTAACTATGATACTTTTTACAGGGTGGTTAGAAGTTACGGCACAGTCTGTGTGTGTGCAGAGTGTCAACGGCCGCCTGACTTTGTGCTGGTATTTTCATTCATTCTCTGAGGATAAACGCCACATTGACAAAATCAGTTGTGTTTAGAAGGGGATAACCAGGGCAAGATACTTACAGCATTTTGAAATCTCGGTTCAAGTGGTTGAAGGAAGGTCTTCCAGTGCGGGGACTCTGGTAGAGACTGGGCAAAACTCAGTAACATAGTGGGTTAGGTCCTGAAGCTCATCTTGATGAGTAAACTGTTGATTTGCACAGGGAGGTAATCTGTTCTGATAGAAGAGCTATTTGCCTAGAGGAGCAAGCTGTTGAATTTATAAACTGATTTTCAAGAATCTCCTGAGGCAAACAGTCAAGCTATTTATTGGTCCATAGCCTTATCTTAGGCCCACCAAGCTGTCCCATTTGTGAGGCACTGAGGGGATTCTTGCGATGCAGGACTTTCCATTTTAATAAGGGCAGCAGATTAGTTGTTGTAAAACTAGGCTTAGTAAGTTTGAGTACTGACTTAATTTTTCCCTAATCCACAGTGATATTTCCCAGTTTTACTGCCATAGCACCAAAACATCACATTTATAGGTAACCTGAAAAAAAATTAAATTCCCTCCTTTTCTGGCCTAAAATGAATCAATTTGTCAAATAAACCATTTACAAGAAGGTGTGGTAGGCTAAATAATGCTCCCCTTTTCCCACCCCACCCCCAAGTCTAGATCCTAATCCCTAGAATCTGTGAATTTGTTACCTTATATGGCAAAAAGATACTTGGCAGATGGCGATTAAGAATTTGGAGATGGGGAAATTATCCAGGTGGGCCTGACAAAGGCCCTTATGAGAGGTAGGCAGATCCGAAGAAACGGCATCATACAAGCAAGGGGAGAAAAGCATAGAAACCTATGAGATATGAGGCCATGAGCTTAGCAATGTGGGCAGCCTCTAGAAGGTGGGAAGGCAGGGAAACAGATTGTCCCTAAAACCTCCAGAAGGAACCAGCCCTTCTGATACCTTAATTTTAGTCCCATAAGACTCACTTTGGACTTCCTACTTCCAGAACTGCAGGAGAACAAATTTGCCTTGTTTTAAGCCACTAAATTGTGGTAATTTGTTACAACAGCAATAGAAAACTAATACAGAAAGTATCTGGGAAATGAACAGTTGCACTGTGCCCCCTTTTGTTACTATTTCTAGTTGCTTTATGAGCAAAGCTTGTCTTACCTAGCAACAGTTGTTAAGCAAGTTAACAATTTAACTAGGAGTTTAACTAAGAGCCAAGGAGAAGGCAGCTGTGCAAATCTCCCCAAATCCAATGCCCACACCTTACATGGCAAAGGCTTTCGGTATCAATGACCATTGTTTATCAATAGACATGTTGCCACTACCTAATCATGGCAAATGATTAAATCCTTACCAACATCTAGCAGTCCTAAAACCTTGAACTGCTTCCAGCTTTCTTGAACTTCTAGGTTTTCTTAAAACTGCTTTTTCTGATCGTAAGAATATTTTACCTGTGCATAGTAAAAGACATCCTAAATTTAATCATGATCAGAAATCCAAATTACAAAAGCTTTGTTTGCTGTGCTGTTTGCAGTAAAATAATTCCACCTGCCCCTTTTGGAGAAACCTTCAAACAGATTCATGAATACAAGCCATTTAAGACATGCTTTTACACTCACAGAGATATACTGGGTAAGTTTCTTTGCTGTTTTCTTCTAATGTTTTAGAGCATCGTATGTCATTCTTCCTGTTACATAGACTTGTCAGCTCTTCTGATCAAAGTTGCTTGTCCTACAGGGGTTTCTATTTGGCATGAGAAAAATATGGGTCGAATTCTAGCTTCACCGCTTAAGTGCCTTGGACAGTATACTTAGCCTTTCAATTTCTTTCCTTATATGTAAATAGAGATGTTAATACCTAGCTTGCAGGTTTGTAGAGGCGTTAATGAACTATTTGTACCTGTTATAAAGCCAGGCACATAATAGCAAATGGGAGTTCTTTTTGCGTTGCCTATACTTGGGCACCTTCCACACACACAGGAGAGAAATGGCTCTAAGTAACACCTTAATCAATGGGTGAAAGAAACGATAGCCTTTATTAGTAGCTGGTGACTTATACATACTTATAGACACATATAGATAACTTGAGAATAGTGTGTGGATATATATATATATTATATATATATAGTGTGTTATAAATGTGTTATATATATATTATGCGGTATGCTTATATATATAACATTGTGTATGTGCATATGATTTCAATGAGCAAATCAAATTGTAGTTTTATAGGTTTCCTTCTCTTCTTATCCCCATCAGAGTTTCCAGTCTAAGCCTTGAAAGTGTTTCCTAAGGACTCTTAAAATACTTTTCTGATCCTCTCTTCCTTTAACATGATAAACTAACAGTGATTTACTTTTACTCCTGATCTTTGAAAATATAAGAAGTTAGAGAATGGAAAGTGTTTTGAAAAAAATAAAATGTAGGTTACCTATAATGAATAGAGCAGAGGAAAGTTCTGGAGAGAAAAGGGTCCTGTTACCAGAGGGAGAGAAGATGTTGAACAGACAAAAAAATAAATAAAAAGCTTAACACTCCATAATTGAGAATGATTCTAAAAAAAAATACAAGTACCACACCTGATTTTAACTTTTAGTTAATGTTTATGCTTTTATTGATTGATTCCTTATGCCTTCCAGAATATCTGAGTCTAAACATTAAGTGGATAAATTAAATCTAGTTAGAAATTAATCTTTTATATTCAGTGACCTCTATTTGTCATCGTCTATTTTAAGTCAAGAGCCAAAATTCTGTTTTTTATAAGTAAATATAAAAGCATATTGAAAAATCTACATAAATGCTAATGAATGTTGCATAGGACAGTAGTTCTCAACCATAGCAGTGTACTCAGAACTTTAAAAAAATATGTTTTTACTACAAATATACAAACACAGACTCATTGGATTTAATACTAATCCAACACAGACCCACTAAATTAGCTTCAGAACCAGGCCTCTGTGTGTTGTCTTTCAATTTTTTACATATTTTAATAGCTTTTAATTGGAAATAGTTTAAGACTCAAGTTTTAAAAAGAGAACAGTCCTTATATGCCCCTCATCCAGCTTCTTCCACTGATATTACATAATGCCGGTTCACCGTCAAAACCAGTTATTGGTGTTGGAATAATACTATTAAATCAGGTACAGACCTTACATACACATTTTTACCCCCTTGGTGTATACTTTAATGAAGTTTATCACACGTAACCATTGCCACAATCAGGATGTAGAACTCTCCCATTACCACAGAGAAACTCCCTTGTGTTACGCCTTAACACGCCATAACCCAAGCCCCTAGTAACCACTCGTCTGTACTTCATGACCATCATTTTATCCCTTTGAGAATGTTCTATAAGTGGAGTCATGCAGTATGTAACTCTTGGAAATTAACTTTCTTTACTCAGCATAAGGTCCTTGAGGTCCATCCAAGTTCTGTGTGTTCATAGTTTGTTCCTTTCTCAGCATTTTTAAAAGCTATGCAGAGATTCTGTTGTACAGAGTTGAGAACAGCTAATAGAAAGTAATGGGATTTAAGCATAAAAAGAGCAAAAGCAGCCCACAGTTGTATCACATTTTTATGAAGTTCAATGTGTTGCTGGTCCCCGCTTAGTCACATTTCTTCCAAAATCTTCTGTAATTATATCTACGCATTGTTGAGCCTATGCAGTGTATGTCCATCTCAATCATATTATTCACTGCCCTGTATTTATAAATTCACTGATAATCCAGTAGCAAAGACTCTTAATGCTACAAAGCATGTATTTTCAGTTACAGATGACAGAAATGGCTCAGACTAGACTGCAATAAAAGGGAATTTCTTGACCTTTTAAACAGAGAAACCCAGGGGGGATCTGGCACCAGGGCTTTCAGTCTGTCCACACTTGCTCTTCCAATGAGTTAGCTCAGCTGTTTGCGACTGCAGCCAGGCTTAGTCCAGCAGCTAGGAAAGGAGTAGAGTGGTCCCAGACAGCTCCAAGAGCCTATTGCCTCCAACTTAAAAACCACAAGGGTAAAAAGCTATGTTTCTTTTACATCCTTATATAAAATCCTAGGGAAGAGCCTGCTTGGCCAGGCTTGAGCATGTGCCCAGTCCTGGTCCAGTTATGGCCCTGGGGGATAACGTGATGGGCAAGCAGGTTGACTGCTGCGATTGGCAGTCCCACCAGAAAAACCTGAAGTGAGAGAGGAAAGTTCTGGAGAGAAAAGGGTCCTGTTACCAGAGGGAGAGAAGATGTTGAGCAGACAAACAGATGTCCACAACATCTTGGCTCTGTTATTGCCCAACTAGGCACCATGAGAGACACTGCAGTATAAGATGTGCTTTGTAATTTTAGAAAATTAGACCTAATCACATGGAAAGTTAATAATTCAACAAATCTAAGATGCAAAAAAATGAATGGTATAGGGAATAAGTACTGTTAAGAGTTTGGATTGGAGAGAAAGATCACTGTGCATGGGATTTCAGCTCTCAAAGGGCTTGTCACCCCCATATAGGTTATGAGCCACCTCTGACAGCCCACTCCGGCAGCAGAAGATGGAAAAAACCCTGTGCCCAGTTCAGGGAGCTCAGGGCTGGGCCCCAGGGCCAGCTCTGTCCCTAGCTATCCGGGATTGTGTGGTCCTCAAACCTCTTTGCGCTTTTATTTCCATGTCTGGGTAGATAATAATATTATTATTTAGAAATTAAATAAGATCACTGGCAGAGAAGTGCTAAACTACTGCCCCTTAGCTCCACAACTGAGGCAGCTAAACCCAGCAAGACCACACTGAAGACAGACATATAACACACTGAAGAAAGCGTTCTGCTACCACTTCCCTGCTGGAGGTAACACCAGGGCCCCGAGGAGCAGAGCTGGATCCGGTGAATGTTCACTCAACATTCTACTCTGGGTGAAAAATCTGCTCCGCCAGTTGTCTACAGTGTGGACTTGCTGTGAAGAAAGCAGCTGACTCTATCTAGGCCTAACAGTGCCGTGAGTTTCCTCTCAATCAATTGAGGAAAAACTTATCTCTTTCATTGACATCTTTAAAGAAAAGAATATAACCTGTTCCAAAGGGGATATATCTCTTAGATAACTCTAGTAAGTAACTAGATAATCATAAAAAGAAAAGCCAAGAAACAGTCTGTGGATATTATGTTTCTTTTCAAATACACAGATATCGGGGCAGATATTCTGAATAAAGAAGAGGAAATTCAAGAGGCTGCACTCAAAGAACGTATTGCAAAAGCAGAAGCTGGCATATGGGCTCAGGTAAAAGAAGTGGGAAGTCAACCTAAATGCATTTTTTTTTAAATTTTGGTATCATTAATCTACAATTACATGAAGAACATTATGTTTACTAGGCTCCCCCCTTCACCAAGTCCCACCACATACCCCTTCACAGTCACTGTTCATCAGCGTAGTAAGATGCTGTAAAATCACTACTTGTCTTCTCTGTGTTGCGCAGCCCTCCCTGTGCCACCCACACACTTTACATGCTAATCGTAATGCCCCCTTTCTTTTTCCCTGCCCTTGTCCCCCCTTTCCCACCCATCCTCCCCAGTCCCTTTTCCTTTGGTAACTATTAGTCCATTCTTGGGTTCTGTGATTCTGCTGCTGTTTTCTTCCTTCAGTTTCTCTTTGTTCTTAAACTCCACATATGAGTGAAATCATTTGGTACTTGTCTTTCTCCACCTGGCTTATTTCACTGAGCATAATACCCTCTAGCTCCATCCATGTTGTTACAAATGGTAGGATCTGTTTTTTTCTTATGGCTGAGTAATATTCCATTGTGTATATGTACCACCTCTTCTTTAGCCATTCATCTAGTGATGGACACTTAGGTTGCTTCCATATCTTGGCTATTGTAAATAGTGCAGCAATAAACATAGGGGTGCATCTGTCTTTTTCAAACTGGAGTGCTGCATTCTTAGGGTAAATTCGTAGAAGTGGAATTCCTGGGCCAAATGGTATTTCTATTTTGAACATTCTGAGGAACCTCCATACTGCTTTCTACAATGGTTGAACTAATTTACATTCCCACCAGCAGTGTAGGAGGGTTCCCCTTTCTCCACATCCTCACCAACATTTGTTGTTGATTGTCTTTTCAATGATGGCAGCCATCCTTACTGGTGTGAGATGATATCTCATTGTGGTTTTAATTTGCATTTCTCTGATGACTAGTGATGTGGAGCATCTTTTCAGGTGTCTGTTGGCCATCTGGCTTTCTTCTTTAGAGAACTGTCTTTTCAGCTCCTCTGCCCATTTTTTAATTGGATTATTTGCTTTTTGTTTGTTGAGGTGTGTGAGCTCTTTATATATTTTGGATGTCAGCTAAATGCATTTTTATAGTTCTTTCACTTCTTGGATTTGTCTGCAGTGGAGTCAGGCAGAACTGACTGAATCCTGGCAATCTGTGGACCTTGGGCAAGGTCTTCAACTCTGTGGTCTTGCCTTCTTCAAATGTAAGGAGGAACAATAATACTCACTCTATTAGGATGGGCAGAGTGCAGTGAAATAATGTGCCTGGAACACAGTAGGTACGTAGTAGAAAGCTGGCATCAGGATTCTTCTTCTAAATTGCCCCATGTATGGGTGACTGCTGCTCCCTATGTTCTCACTGGATTGAAACTTAAAAGAAAAAAAGACATCCCTTTTGGTAATTATTTATTACTGTTTAATATTTAATATTTGGGCAGCGGGCAATGCCCTGACCAAATGCCTTTTCTTCCCCCAAGTGCTCATTCTCCTTTTTACCCCCTCCCCTTGCTCCCCTTCTCTCCGGACAGCTTGATACCTTGTCCCTGTGACTGTGGAGGGCCAGAGGGGCCAGAGGGGCAATTTCAGGGCACTGGGGCTCACAGTCAGATCCCAGATGTTTACGTGAAGCAACACTTTGATCCTCCCCCTGCCATTTCTTCCAGTCTTAGATAGAATCACAAAATGACTTCCTGAGGAGAACGAACACTCCTTGAGAGCAGGAAAAGCCTCCATGTTGAGAACATTGTTTCTCAGTTTCTTAATGAACTAGACGTCATAGCAGAGAGTTGGAACTGTCCAGCATTAATGCCAGCGAAAGCTTGGTGTGACTGCTTGAGTGCAGAGGGCAATGTATATAAAAATCTTACTAGTCATTTGTCAATAATAAAACAAGTCAAATCAATTGTGAGCTATTAATTATACACTGTAATCCAAAGGAATGCTTTTGTAAATTATCTATAATTTGAATATAAGCAGGTCTAATGTACTGGGCATTCTCTCCAAATAAAATAATAAAATGTCTTTCTGAAGGCTTAATGCCGAGGATCTGGGATGGTATTCATTGTCTCTTTTCAGCCATTTCTAGCTTTGTGCATCTTTCTACTTTGTATTTCCCAGACTTCCTGCACTGAGCATAACATTACTTGGATAATCAATCAAACAAGACAGCCAAGAAAACGACAACCCAGCCGCCTATAGTAAAGGTGCCTTAGCGGTTCCCGACACAGCAGCCCTCGCCCTGGGTTGTGTTGGGTCGGGGCATCTCTGGATGAGGCTAGCGTGTTTGCTATAGGAGGTGTGAAATGGGAACCGAGCAAGGGGCTTTACTGCCCCTTAACTCCACAACTGTAATTAGGGGCCCCACAGTGGTTGCTAATTCTCAGGAAACATGAAAAGTTGATACATTAATAAATAAACGGACCGTTTCTTTCCAAGGCTGATGAATGCCAAAAAACAAGTAGTGGAGAAAGTACTTGAAGATGCCAATGACAGACACAGAATTAAAATTCAGATTCTGGAACAGGAACATCAGAAGGATTTAAAGGTTCTTACTGTGGCTGGTTTGTGTCTTTCTATGAATGCTTAAGTTAGTAAAAAGCTCTGGCAAAAAAAGTAATGTGTGAAATCTAGGTGGGAGCTTCACGGAGTTGGTTAGATGACCCAGGATTTTCACAGAAGAGATGCTGAACTCTAGGGCAGCTGTGATAAATGTGTGCAGGAGAAACCAGTGGCCTTTGACACAGTAACCCCCAAACTTCATGGGGTTTCCTGTCTGCCTGGCCCACCACCTCTCTTGCCACTGGTTTTCTTTACCTGCCCACAGCCTTCTTTGGGCCCTCAAACCTGGGGCTTTTTCCCCCTCGGGGTCTCTGCCAGGGTATTCTCCCTGTGTTCCATCAGATCTGGCTCAAGCATTGCTACTCAAGGGAAGCTTCACCCCACAGCTCTGCCCTACCACCTGGACACTGTCCATGACACCCCGTCCTCTTTCACGGAGGTCATCACCAGCGCCGTTGTGACTGAAGAGAGGGTGTCTTACTGAATGTCCCACAGGACAGGGTTCTGTCAGATGAGATGATTCACCGGCAGACACCAAAGTCAGGCCGAACCTGGAGGGAAAGTGGCAGAAGTTTCCCTCCACATTAGGCCTCACTTATGGAGAACCTTGATAAACAGTTCAGGGCCCAGGGCCACATTTATTCATTGTTTCAGCAGTGAGCACCTACCATAGATGTGTGCTAGGTGAGATTACACGACTGGCCTCGACCTCGGGAAACTCGCCGGCAGGAGAGGGAGCTCCACCCAAGGCTGCTGAAGGGTGGTGGGCGCCCCCTGCTTGGCCCCAGGGGCTGCGGCAGTCCGCTGCCTGTCCCTGTGCCAGTTCAAAACATGAAGCACACTTATAGCATGTACGGCTGTTCAGCTGGCATGTGCCAGTATGGTCATGCTCGTTCTTAAAAATATTGAAATCCGTCACTGTCAGCTGATAAATAGCCATTTCCCAAGCCCCATAACTCCTCAGTCACCCTGGTGGCTCCCCCAAACCCTGGGACCTTGTCCAGCTCAGCAGTTTAAAGGGATAACCCTTTCAGTTGGCAGGGGGGCTCTAGGACCCTGCACTGATGCTGCAGCTGGGGGCTACCCATTTTGAAAATCATCACTTCTGGTGTCTGGTGGTGAAGATACTGGGGTAACTTAGGTGTGATGTCTGAATCGAGGAGCTCATGTCCTAGTCTTCCTTTAGGTAATTTGATTGTACCCATAAAGTCTTTGGGTGGTGCTGATGCATTTAGTGCTAAAACAGAAGTCATCTTAAGAACATATAAAGGGGAAAAGTTAGAGGGAGGTTGACCTTTCTAAAATAGTCACACGGGGTTTGGGAATTTACAATAATACTGCCACCTCAGGGACCTTTTTAATATAATGAAGGGGTGTTTTATGTAAGAGGATCACATAAATTTATTTCAGCTGTAGGGTACCCAGACATAGATATCAATATTGCTTCTCAGGGGTGTCCATGAACCACCTGCCTTAGAAATTACTTACATGGGAGCTTACCATGCAGATTTCTGGGCCCCAGCTGACCTACAGGGTCACTGGCAGTGTTTTTAATCAGCACCCTGTGTAATTCTCATGCATGTTAAAATTTGAGGTTACCAATAAATAGAGCAGAAAACCAAGTTCTAGAACCAAATACCATTAAATTCTGACATGTAGAATCATGAGGTATTGTATTTCAATGATGTTAAGAATTTGGGCTAAGTCTCAGATGCTCACTGTTAAGAAAATTTTGAGATCTTATCCAATTGACTGATAGTTTTTTGAAAAAGTGTTTATATTATTCAAATACAATAATATTAAAAAGTAAATGATAAAATGGAAGCTAAGGTGAAATTAGAGTAGAAAATACGGTAAAGTCGGGGGTAAATATAAAACTGAAAAATGTATGCATGCTATGATTTTCCTTGCAGTTGAGCCTCTGGTTGTCCAGGCAAAGAAGAAAATGCCATGAATCACCAGGCCCATAAGGTGAAAACAAATCACGTGCTCAGGCCCAGATGTTCCTGCATGTGGTGCCGAGAGACTTCCTCTAAGTGAGACATTATGTCACAAATGTCTGTCAAACATCTGTACAGCAAACATGGATTTCATGAGGCTGTTCCTCGTAATATCTCAAAGCATGGGCCTGTTCACTCAAAATGTATTTCAGTGAAAGCAATTTAACTCTTCACATTCAACACTTTGCATTGAATAAAAACTGCCAAGCAGTAGGTTATTGAATTATTTTTATAGCTATAAATATGTGTTCCACATGCTGTGTGAGGCAGTATAATGGTTTTGGTTATACTAAATCATTCCCTAAAAGAGGGACTGGGTTTAATTCTCTGAACCCTAGTTCAGAATCTGGATGAAATAAAGGTTTGGGTATCATTTTCAAATTCTATGCATCAAAGAGAAAAATATAATACTTCATCTCTTTAAAGCTCAACCACTTGGCAATCTCAATTACTGAAAATATACTTGAAAACCCTCACAAAGTTAATAAAGGTCACTGACTGTAAGGCAGAAGCTGAGGCTTATTATCCATAGCAGAACCTCTCCATTCCCCACTCAAGTATTACTTATACTTGACAACCTGAACCCAATAGATGTGTTTGCTTAATTCCACAAATCTGAAATAGAATAAATGATGGAAATGATAAAAGGTTGCTCAGTGAAAGCAGTTAGAACAGAGAGTCCTCAACCCAATAGCATGTGAAGAACAAGAAAAATGACAAAAATCAGATGTCAGATCTCAAAAAGCAAAGCAGTCTGGGGTTATTATAACAGAGACAAATAGAGCTATGAACCTGAACAGTTAGTAAGTATAGTACAAAGGGTATATTGGGTTTGATAAGACCCAGTACAACCATTCATCTTTATTTGCTAGCCTGGATCATCAAGAAGCATTAAAGTGTATTCATTTTAACAGTTTTTATGAAGGTAGATGTTTAAGACATTTAGAAATACTTCCATTCAAAATATCTTACTACCGAAAAGTTCTGGTGCCTTAAGAGACAAAGCCTCCAGCAGTATGGAAAACCCAGCTAACATTTCTGAACAGCCACTGTTTTCCTAAAAAATATTTTCTAAACACTTGAACTGAGGCCACTCTGGAGAGATTCTTGAAGTTGATTTCTTCTGTCTTTTTTATCTTAAGTTTTTTATTTTTCACTCCCAGAGTAGCCAAAAGGTTGAAGTTGAATACTTACTCTCTGTCTCTTAGAAAAGCTGGAGTCTGTCTAGCAAATATTTTAATTGTTGAAACACTGCTACCTAAAAAGCTAAAGTGATTTCAGTTTCAAAAGAAAGAGAGGGAGAAAGCAAGCTCACTGTACTGTCTTATGAGACTGTACAGTGTTTCTGGAATGAAAATATATCGATGAATCTGTTGAAAGGCCCTGGCAGCACAGCCAGCAAGAATGCGAGAAACTGGCGTTGAGAATCCTGGTTTCTGCTGCTAGTTCTTCCCCTGACTTACTGTGTGAAATAACTTACTTTCTTTATGTCCTCTTGTTATACCTGAAATAGAGATAAAAATGTACCTCTAAATGAAAGCTTTGAGACTCCTAGACAGAATTCATTGCTCCTGTTTCCTTGCATGTACTTCTACTGAAACATTCATTACACAATTAAGTTGTTTTCTTCCACTAAACAGCAAGTCCCTGAGGGTGAGGATTCCAGCCTTTGTGTGTTTGTGGCTTCTGGGCTCAGCACAGGGCCTGGCACTCGGTGGAGTTGGTAGGCATTTCTAAAATGACTACAGAGTTTTCCTTGAAAGTCTGTTTTCCTCGAGTCCTGGTTTGACTAGTGCCTCCTGTTTTCACTTGGCCAAAGGTGTGCCCAGGTCCTTCTACCCCGGAGCAGTGGAGCACTTGCTCCTGAGGTACGTCTGACAGTAGGACTGGCAGGTAGTTTCCTGGGACGGGCTAACGGGCACCTGTTTGATGCAGGAGCCTCAGCTTCCCTCCTGCCCAGGAGACCTGCAGGAGACATAGTCCTTGTTTCTGCCATTTCCAGGACTGGCTTCCTAAAGCAGAGTCATATTTTTCTAATTATGTACAAAGATAATGACACTGTCGAATATTTGAACAGTCAAGGGGGAATAAAACCCTGTAACCCAACTGTTTTCCCTTTTTGCATATTCCCTTCCAATATCATCTCTACAAACATTTATACTACATAGTTTGCATGTTTCTGGTTTTACTTACCATCAAATAAATGAAAATTTTCCATATTGTGCCCACTCTTCTTTTAAATCATCAGTGTTCACAGGTGCACATGCCATCAGGTTTTGATGAACTATGATATGAATAACCTTGTAGTGTGTTTTTTTAATATTTTATATCATTTTGAATTTATTTTGTTTACTTCAAAATACAAAACTATACTGTGCACATAATAAATATTTTATACATAAAAATACACAGTGTTACAGTATATAATGTTCTTTAACATGAACTAATAACATTGTTTGATTATGCATATATGCAAAATAGGTTTTATTATATCGCATTTTAAAGGTGACATTAATGAAGCCCGGGACTGTTAAAGAATCCAATCAAGTTCACAAAGCTAGTAAAATACAGAGCCAATATTCAAACTCAGGGATTCTAATTCCATATTTGTGTTAGAAAAATTGTGTGGCTAACTGCAAGCTATTTGCAGAGTTAAGGTGTATAGAAAGGACACAAAACTGAAGAGAATACATTGTGTAGATGTGTGTGTGCTCGCAGTGTGTTTTTAAACATCAAAGCTATAACATCTAAACCTAGCGTTACTGTTCCTTAAGGAAGTGGCAGCTAAAACCAAGATGGAGGTGCATCAAAACATGGAAGAAGAAATGAAGCGAGAATACCTGGCTGTAGAGCAGCACATGGTCCACAGAATCCAGAGGCTCATGACGAAGTGCCAGAGGGGGAAGCCGGAGGCGGTGGAGAGAGCCAGAGCCGAAGAGAGACGGAGGGCCAGGGAGGCAGCCCGCTACCAGAGAGGGTAGTGCAGAGAACGCATCTGCAAGTCAGCATCTCACTGTCCGAATCAGCTTGGAGAAAGGGATAAGGCTGAGGCACTTACGTGGCTATTTCCTGGTTTTTGTGTGTTTACATTTTTATTATGGAATGCATCAAACATAAAAGAGCAATATGTAATATGTTGTAGATACGTGTGCGGTTTAAAGAAAAACAATAACATGACATTCAAGGACTCACCCACCTAAAGGGACCCCAAATTGCTGATATTCCTGAGGCTCCCAGATGTTCCTCTGTCTCCCTCCTCTCAGAGATAACGACTGTCCTAAATTCTGTATTTTCCCCTCTGTATCTCCAGTCTTCAGAGGCTGAGGCATCAAGAAATATTTTCCCACACACCCATAAAAGTCAGTCTTCGCATTGTCTGGCCCATATCATACACTACGGTGGATTTGTTACTGTTTGGTCTTTATCTTATTCCATAACTAATACATGTTGTAAATGGAGCTGACATTAAGGAAATATATAGGGCAAAAATTGCTCAGTCCTGACACACGGCTTCCCTATCCCCTCTCTGTCTCCCAGAGAGAATTCTTTTAAATCACAGGGTCTGTATCCCTCAATGCCCTTTTATATGTGCAGATAATTTTTTACATAAATAATTTTTTACACAGATTATTTTTACATAAATCAGATCATATACATATATGTATATTTTGAAAATACCAAAATAACCATTTTTATGTCTCTAATGAACATTTGATGGAACTGGCCGGTTTTAACAGGACAGCAGTCAGGAACCCCAGCGATTGTCAGAACCAACAGAAAACCACACTTTCCAGAGTGAAGTGGCCTGCCCAAGATCGTGTAGCTGTAGCAGCCGAAGCAAGCCTGAGACCTCCACCATGGGCCTCCTGTTCTGGGACTTGTCTCTTGCTCTGCTCCTTGACTTAACAAACAAAAATCTATTTGTATATGATTAACAAGGGAAACCTTCCTCATTAGAACAGGGCCAAGGTAAAATCCTATAGGATTCTTCTTTTACAGATAAATAAGAATGAGGGCTGCAGCTGGGCCTATGTGAGTGGCACCTCCCTTCTTGCACAGGCTATAAATCATTGTTGAGATAGAAAAGCAAGGTGAAAGGGGATCTGGGGAGAAAATTAGAGGAAGTGGTGACTCCTGAATGAGCTGTGGTCCAGAGCAGCGGGAGACGGTACCCTCTTCTCCCATCTCCCCCACCAGCATCACGGGAGCTTCTGGGCCCACTCCTCACACACCTGCCACTCCTGCTCCTTCCCCTGCTGTGTGCCCTCGCCCCCCTCAGCCCTTTCCCCTGTGACGTTGGATTGGAGGATTTCCAACAGCCTCCCTCACTGAATCAATTAACTAAGATGAGAGAGATGCCAAGCCCGTGTTTAAAGTGTACTCACCTAAAATGTCCGTTTTGTTAAATGATGGGTCCCAAATGGACACACGCTAAAATTATTCTGAAAAATAGTTTGATTTCTAGCCAAGTATTTATTTAAAAAGATGGTATGTATTTAAAAATTCCAGAACTATAGCCTCATAAAGTTAGAGATGGCAGATGAACCTCATCACTTACAGAAAGAAATGTAAACATTCACTTCATGTTGGAAGCGGCCTTGGAGGTCATTAAGTTGGACCTGCCGTCCCTTACGCGGTCTGCCCGCCGGGCGTTGGTGAGCCCCCTGGGTGCTTCCGTGACAGGAACTGTGCCTGATGGAAGGGGTTCGTTCAAACACTGGTGCTCATCATATGCTTCCTAATGGGGACCCAAAATATGCTGGGTCTCACATCCACCCTTGGCTCCTAGCCCCGCCCCTTCCCTGTGCACAGTGATCCTTCAAGTATTTGAAGAGAGAGATACTGTCCAAGCTTTAGATCGGGGAAGGGAAGGAAAAACCAGAATGTAGTAAATCAATTCCTTCAGTCCTTCCTCAGATGATGTGATTTTTAAGCCCCTTTTTTGGGTGGGTAAAAAAATGTGTATAAATCAAAAACATTTTAGATATACCATAACAATTGATTATTTTTTTATGGTGAATATTTTGATCATGATTAGAATCCTTTTAAAGCATTAATTCTTTAGGCTTTTGTATGCTTTAATTTAGCTGTTTTAAAATTTGCTGTTGCTTGGCACAAAAAAAAGTACTGGAGAGAATTAACTACATCTCTATCATGCATTTATTTGTTCACGCATTTAGTGGTTGCCTTTTTATACACACTGGGTACCATACCAGGCAGGGAAGATACAAGGATGAATGGGCACTCCAGGCCATCAGCCACCACACCCTCCATGCCCTGCACCTACCGTCCTCCTGGCTTCAGTTCCATGAATCAAAGGAAGTCATCAGAGTAAAGGTCAGCAACAACTGACCTTACAGCAGAAGGAGTTAAAAATTCAGGCTCTCAAAGGGTTAAAAATTCAGGCTCTGCCGCAGCCTGGGAGAAGATGGAGAGGATATTCTGAAAATTACCAGATCCTTTTAGTGAGAATAGGTTTTGGCAGCAAGGAGATTAAAGGGGACTACCATGGAGGGTGGGAGCTGGTGATGTACTTTGAGTAGTTTTATCTGAGATAAGCACTGGAAGCACTGTCTAGTCGGCCTCACGGATTAGCACCTCCTCCGCACAGGCCAGGAGAGGGCCGGCCAACCTGGAGGAAGCTCGCGCCTGCTTGTGACAGAGCTCTGGTTCTGGAGGAGCATAACCCGCCCCTGGAGTTTGGGGCTGATTCAAGGAAGCTTCCTTCCCGGTCCATCTGATCTATGCAGCAGGGGCCCTGCTCACCACCTTCACCATCTCGCCAGTATCCTGAAGATTTTATAAAACGTCTAACTAAATACTAAGGATGTGTGTAGGCACACACCCCAACTCTGTCCATGGTATCACTTCTATTAATGGCACCCCCGTTCTGTGACCCAGGCTGAGAAGAAGAAAGCTGGCTTTGATTCATCCTCTTTCCACCTTCCTTATATCCAAGCAGTCACCAATTCTGGCACTTAGGACTTTGTCATATTTCTTGGATGTGTGCCTTTCTCTCCCTCTTCCTATCCCATTCTCTTTCATCATTAGTCCAGACCCTAATCATTGCACATTACAAAATAGTACTAATTTCTCTCTCTAAATCCTCCCATTACCATTCAGTTTACTATTTCCAGAATAATAATTCTCAAACATCATTTTCATGGTGTTTCCCTCCTGATAAAAGCATATAGTGACCTCTTACACTATTGAAGGAGGCTAATGGGTAAGGGCAGGAACGTTCCCACTGGCTCAGTTGTGTGACACTGAACAATAAGTCCCTCTAAGCCTCAGTTTCCTGTACATGGGAATAACAAGAGGCAATAAATAAAAATCATGCCAGTTTCAGTAGGTTATTTTGAAAATTAAATGAGATGTAATGCATGTAAAATGCTTAGCAGAGGCCCTGGGACACAGTAAGTACTTAATAAATATTAACCCTTCTTATTAATACTGGATATAGACCATTTGGTGGGAAAAAGAAAAAGAAAAATAGCATAGCAGCTAGAGAGGCTAAGGACAAATGATATTTACCTCAGGACTGGGGAAATCTTTAAGATTCGAAAGTCAAGTTGAAACAATCAGAGACTATGTTTTGGAGGATAGAATTTAGGAGATGGGGCAGATGGTAAGTCTTGTGAAGACTGTTTTAGACTAGGAGTTGGGGGGAGGCTTTTTATTAACAGTCGTATGTTTTTTCAGGTTGTTTTATTCTCAAATCTTTGGAGGTTCTGGTCAGAGTAGGTTAACCAGAGACATCTATCAGGAGGGTGCTGCAGTGGCCAGGGGCTTGTGCTCTGGGCTCAGACTGCCTGGTTCACAGTACCCGTATTACCGCTTTTGTATTTAAGTGAAACTCAGCAAGGTACTTGACCTCTCTGAGCCTCAGTTTTCTCATCAGTACAAGAGGAATATAATAGACCCACCTCACTGAGTTGTTTTGAGGCATCATTGAGTTCCTATTGGCATGGGGTGCTCATCGACCTGCCTGGCACATGCTAAGAACTCAACACAGTTGGCTGCTAAAAATGATCTATAATTACATACATTGCAAGCAGAGTTCTATGACATCATTCAGCAGTGGTTGTTGTTGTGCTGGGACTGCTCAGAGTCCCTAGACATTTCCAGGGGCTCATAAGGTCAAAGCTGTTTCTTAATAATACTAAGGTGTGACTTGCCTTTTCACTCTCATTATCTCTTGAGTTATGTAGTGGTGTTTCTCAGGGTTTTATGATGTGTGATATAGCAATAGATTGAAATAATATGAAAACCCAACTTCTTCTATTAAGCTAGACAATAAAGAATGTGGCAGAAAATGAAAACTATGCCACTTTTCTTACCCAGATTTTTTGATTTGGAAAATGCATATTTCATAAAAGGGAAGTTATTTGTGTTAACATTTAATGGATTTATTGATACTTTACATGAATTTATAAATATTTTTTAATGTTTCACTTTTAATTTCTAATGCTGTTGATGTCACTAGATATAATCCACATAACAAAAGTTATTTTTTGTTCCTTGGTCATTTTAAGAGTAAAAAGGTGCCTGAGACCAACAAGTTTGAGGCAGCTGCCATAGAGCATTGCTCAGATGCAATCAAGATTAAAGCTAAACCTAACCTGTGAGCAAAAGTTTTTTCCCCTCTGGCTCAAGGGAAGCAGATGGATTAATATAAAGGAATGCTTTCTCTAGGGGTCCGGAACTCTGACACTATTTCTTCCTTTTTAAGCAGGATGAGTTCGTATTTTCTGGCCAAGGTGGACTCAGGTCCCTAGTTACCATCAGGCACTAGGCTAGTGGCCTCCCCATGGCTCATAGCAGGGAAGGTGATGGGCACGCTCACTGCTCTGAAAAATGGTTTTTGACTCTTTACAGCTAATGTAATCCAAAAGCTCATCTCTATCAGCCTGTCTTGGATTAGTGGCTCATGTAAACATTGAAGTAATTTCTCATATATCTGTGGTGAAAGATGAAATCGTTTCATTTTTAGTAGCTAATCCATCTAACTTACACATCCCTATCTTTTGTAGACAAGCCGTGGAGAAACTTATGAATAGTGGTGTGACAGCTATTAAAGATCAGAATAAGAGTATGAACAATTGATAAAGGAAAAAGAACATGAAATGAACGTCTGCTTTTGCATGGCTCAGAGACAGAAGCAAAAAGAGGTTCCGGAAATTCTCCAAGAAGCAGAGAAGACCCATCAGGCCACACTTGTATATGTGATGGATAAACTAGTTAACACTCAGGGGGAGCTGCTCTCCATAGCGAAACAACTAGGGATTATGACAAATTGGAAAGATTTCCTGGAGGAGGAATTACAGGAAACGAGGGCAGCATTTCAAAAATGCATCAATTATACATTCCCTATGCTTTCACCAGGACATGCAGATTTTATTCTGCCAGAAGGAAAGAAAACACCTCCCAATCTTATCATTCAGGAGAACTAAACAACTCTTGATTGGAAGTCTTCAAATGAATTTCACTACAAAAGACACTGCTCCAAAGACTAAATAAACTCACTCCAAACTATTTATTGATCCCTGGTTCTATGCTAGGTACTATAGGGCTATAAGCATTTTGATGGAAAACCAAAATATTCAAAAGCACACTCCAGGCTACCGTGAGTTCCAAGTTGAATCAAGGGGAGGAAAGAGTGAGAGGGAGCAATACCGATGAGGAGGGAAAGCTTTCTTAGGAAAAGTCTGAACCGATTTCTGTATCTGGCTTTATTTGCATCTACATCAGACATACAACTGTTTTAGCATTTGTTGCAGTGAAAGCAAGTAAAGGTACATATTTTTGGTGGTTCCTGTTGAGGGGAGCTATGCTAACTTCCAGCATAGAAATTATTATTTGGTGAACTGCAATAGCATTGTAGGAAAAAAAGCAATTTCCCTCAAATTCAATAGGATAAAGTTTAAATTCTGGGAAGCCTATATGAACTAATTCAGAAAGGACTCATTTATATTTGTCAGCTGTGAAAGAAAAATTTGTCTTCAGAAGTTAGATTCCCTGCTTCAGGGATGGGGAGTACGTTTGTGTTTATATGCAGGCCTAGGAATGCTTTGAACTCATCTCCTTTGGGTTAAAATGCAAAAAACCTTTAGGTACCACAATGCTCAGGACCAATTCATGTCAACGTCTACTGAATTAAAAATTGAAGAAAACGCAAGCCATAAACAGTTCTCCAAAAATCTGTCCACTCTAATATAATATCCTTAAATTATTAATCATCAACCTGTGTTGTTGGCTTTAAAATTAAAAACTTGGAATACAGTTTTCAGTCAATTAAAAAGTACTATTCTCGAGCAAGCCTGAGGTAGATGTGTTTACATTTATCACTCGGCAGTTTCCTAACAGTAGAAGTAGCAATCTGCCAATTTGCATGATGAACTACCCTCTGCTCAGTGTTTAGCTTCCTGGTGCTGCGAGCCGGCTGCAGTCCGCTCTAATTATTGCCTGGGTGCTGGGCGTAGTGACGTCTGTACAGTGCCCTCCACTTCTCGTTCATGTACGTTCTTCTCACAACAATCTGAACTAGGCAAGACAGTGCGTGTTGTTGTCCCATATTTTTGTAGATGATAAAATGAAAACCGTGTACCTAGGTATTTACACATGTGAACCACTTTGAAAACAGCAGTATTTAATCTTTGCAATGACTTTCGAAAGCTATTATTGTCTCCAATTTATAGGGAGGGAAACCGAGGCTCAGGGAGGTTGAATAACTTTCCCCTGGGTGCACGGTGACAGGGCCAGAGTTCAAATTATTACAAGGCACAGGCAGATGGATGCCGAGAGAGACCTAAGGGTGCTCGGAATGGAGCAGGTAATGACAGCAGCTAACACTGGGGGGCGCCAGCACGTGCGCGTCACGCTGAGAACGGCGCTCGGTGGACTTCTGGATTTTCACGGCAGTCTGTGAAAGGCAGGAGCCAGTAGGCCAGGCACAGACAGGCTCTGTCACTTTCTCAAAGCCATATAGCTAGTAAGGATCAGAGCCTGTTTCAAATCCAGAGAATGTGGATGCTTTGGCCGTTACTTTGTTCAATGTGGAGCCCTTGGTGCCTGATTTGTGGGTCTGCAAATATGTGTCTTGGTGGCTTCTGTTGATGAGGAAAGAAAGAACATGGTCTGTCTTTGTGGTGCATCATTTTTATCTCATCTAGAGGTAAAAGAAAGTTGTACCTAGGACTGTGGTCTAATTAATTTGGATTATCCACCAGATTCAAATCTGAGCATATACCAAACAGGGAACAGAGGAAAGTTTTCTGACGGGTTCCATTTCATGGCCACCACTAAGAGTGTCTCTGGCATCAGAAGAAAGCAGGCAACTTATTTTTGGTTTGAAAAAAGGGACCTCGCTTCTCAGTCTTCAACCAGATTGGAAGAAATTAAGTTATCCATGCTTTTAGTACTTTCCTTGTTCATGCTTCAGCCCCTTCTCCCACCCCAGACCCAACCACTAGCTTCCTTAGGGTTTTTTAGGTAATGTAGGTGCTTCTGAGAAGGGGAGTTAGAGAAACTATTACTGCTCTAATCCCAGCTTGATCCTCCCGAGGAGGGCTCACTGCCCCAGAAGACTCACCCACCCTACTCGTGTCAACCACAGGGCATTCTCTGAGGGCAGGACCTCCTGATACCAGACCCCTGTTTGCCACCCGCACTATAGCCTGCATTCAGTACTAACCGTGAGGAAGGGGCTTCTTCCAGCGATCCTGTTCTCAGCTTTACTTCCCTCAAGGCAAAATTGAAGAGCATCATCTTTGTTCTTACCCAAATCCCTCACCTTGGTTTGATCACCTCAACCACAGTTCTTTCTAGCTTTGAATGTCTTCCAGATAAATACCCCTGAGAATTAAGTTCAAAATGGATGGATAATTTGCCCTACAGAGCAGAAAAGGCTGACTGTAGACTAAACTGAGACCTCATGCATATTTCCAGTATCCCCGTCTGCGGGGTCTCTCGGCAGTGTCTAGGCACTGAAGCAGCAGTTTCTGTGGCACTGAGAAGGATTATCCTGATGCGTAAAAAAAGAAAGGAAAAATGCAGCAATGACCATTTATTGAGCAACTGCTGTGTATCAGATATCGTACTAGGTTCCTTACTAACCTAGTCTTACTGAAATCTCACGGCGACCATATAAGGTACCTGCCCATTTTAAAATAAGGAAGACTGTAGAGAACTTACTTGATGAAGATCACAGAATTATTTGAGAAGCCCATGTGTTTTCCACAACTACAGCACATCAGCCTAATTTAGTGTCTGTGCAAACACTGAGTAGATGTCAAGGATGCATTGCTTTCATAATACATTGGAATTTGTAGCGATTCTGAATTATTGTTCAGAACCCTAACTCTTCCAGTCAACATGGCTGGGAGCCAAGGATGAAGGGAGCAGAACTGACAACCTTACCTGAGCTGCTTGCTGAGCACCCCCAAAGTCAGGCCCCAGGGACAACTCTGCGAAGGGGCACACCCTGTAGCTCTCTCCCACCATTCTAATGTCAGGGACAGATTTTCCTAGGGGGTTCTGGAGAGAGATCAATTGCCTGAATTGTGAGAATAGCAGTCAGTGAAAATTGAAAGTGAGGTGAAATCTCGATGGGACTCTTACTCCAGGGTTTTCTAGGGAAGCTTGACTGAGACTAAATCAGGCTATTTTCAAAAAGATTCTTGAAGTAAACCAATTTTTAGCATGACTTGAGAACACTTAAAATCTCTCTTGATGCCATTTAGTTTGAGTATAAGACCTAGAGAGACCATTATAGACCTTAGATACTAAGCCCCATATAAGTTACTAAAATCCTAAACATTTTGGAGAACTACTTTCAAGAGAATTTAAAAGTTGCATTTTCCTAAGTTGTCTTAGATGCTACCTATCCAGTAGTAGTGTGGTTCCTATGGCTTCTGATACGTAGGAAACTATGTTAAATCCTAGAGGCCACCTGGGAACTTAATCTAAGATCCTAAGAAATTACAGTTTAAATTTTTGGAAAATCATTCCATCAAACAACATTGTTTTTAAAGAAAATATACCTGTGGGCTGGGAAATGGATGCACAGTGTAGTAGGAGAGATAGAGAAGCATACTCACACCCACTCATCCTACTCTCACAAGCACAGGGCTTGGGCTATTTATTAATCATTAGATCTTTTTGTTACAGAGAAGTCACTCTGTTTTCTTTCTCTACCTTTATTCCATTTGACTAAAACTTGCATATTCTAGCTCAGAGGCAGGGGTGGCATGGGGGAGCTTATTTGCCCTGATATCATGTATTTGGCAAAACAGGGTCATTTACAGATCAGAGGAGTTTGATATCCCGCTGCTTCTAATAACTCTTGTTTCTACTTGGCTGGGATCACTCAGAAAAGGAAAGAAGAAAGCATTGCCATTTGTTGTCCAGTTATTGTAAGCCAGGCAGCAAGTGAGCGTTCTTCAACTTCTGCCTCACAGCAACCAGATAAAGAAAGGCACTTTGAGGTTAGGTAAAATCCACATAAGGTCACTCCATCTGAAAAGTGCAGATGTATTCAACCCACTGATTCCAAATTGCAGCATTAAAAATAAGTGGTTTTACTTTAGTTCATTCCAAATATAAACACTTTAATATTAAGGTAAATTAGATTAGAATTATCCCTCATCCATAGCAACTGCATATGCAGTTTTAAACATTTGCAAGGGTCCAAGTCTATCCATCTGCTTTCCTTACTCTTAACCATGTGTGACATTTCCTATTGCTCATGGCACTCTTTCCATCTTAACTGCTTTGGGTGTCTGTTGTTCCAGGAGGAGGGGGTTGCCCATTCTGGGCAAGTTCACTATGAATCCAGTGAGGCAAAATAAAGACAACAGAAAGGTGGGAGTTATAAGGCACTCACACCAAGTTTATTCTCACAGAGGTCACCTGACTCTGTACAAGTGGCAAAGACAGCTCAGTCTCTCCTGGCTCCATCACTGCTTCCTCCTGCTTCCCACCAGGGGGCTCTCTTTTCCCTCCTAGCACAAGGTCTCCACAGCTTCTTTCTCCTGCTTCCTCTCCCCTGGGCTCTCCACTTCTCCACTCTCACCATTCTCTAGGCCCTCTCCTTCCCTGTCCCTAGCACCAGGACGAACTCTGGGTGGGTCTCTATGGTGACTGAGAAATGCCCAGCCAAATAAAGTCCACATGCTTGTGCATTTCCCCTCCACCTCTCCCCTGGGCAGGTACTTCCATGACTGACAGTTTGCTCAGGGCTGCTCTGTCCGCTGATAAACATCCTGCCACCCATACATATGCAGACAGACCCTTTTATGTATGCAGTGGGCGATATTAAAGCCAGGTGAGAATCCTGGTGTTAAAATTTCCATTTTCTCCACACTGTCTATTTCCCACTACTGGACTTTAAGACAGAGAGGGCTCTCTCTGCTGAGGACCCATAACAAACTCTGCTGGAGCCAGGAGGGACTGAGCTGTCCTTGCTGCTTGTACTTCGCTAGGCAGTATCTTTGATCACTCTGTGCTGCACAAGTATTTCTCATCCCCTTACCTCCAACTCAGTGTTCCCAAGCAGACTATTTGTATCATGTGCTCCTTGAAGGAATATCATTTGATTACATACAATTATCCACAAAGCTGCAGGTTTCACTTAGAAATTTACGTATTTCTAGAATCTCTACACTCTATTACAGAGAATCTGCAATCAATTCTAGAGAGTCTACAATCTCTAGAAATCACAGATATGTATGGGATACTAATTGTTTGTGTTGTTTATTCAACATGCATGAGGAAGTAACCTACTATATGGTGCTTGTGTTAGATGTTTGTGTTAGATGAAATAGGTAATAGTCCTTACTCATAGAGAAGTCAGCTAAGTGGATAGAAAGATGGTGAGCATGTGTTATAATACTGTTGAGGGCTGGAAAAGCAGTAATAGTGGGCTCCGTGGGTAAAACTGCAATATTTCCAGAATCTCTCACCTGGCCTTAGTGCATCTCCATATAAGTGTTTCCAAGGGGTGGAGAGAAGTAGTCCATCTCCATATCAATAGGTGATTAGAAGGGTGAGCGAGGGCATATCTGGACTGGAGAGGTTGGGTGGGGTCCCTTTTTGAAGCCAAGTCATGAGAAACATGGGCAAAAAGAAGTGGAAAACTACTTGTAAGCAATAAACAGGTTTCTCCCACTTTATTTCCCCCTTTGACTGATTTCAGTTTCAAAGGTATTTTTCCCTGGGATTTTCCCCCCGGAGTTATAGGCTCACATCCCCATTTCCTAGTTCATAT